GGAAGACATACACATTCTCCTCACTGCACTGAAGAACGTAGTAGAATCCTACAAAATGAGGATTCCAGTACTGTGTATCCACATCCAGCAGAGCAGTGAAAGAGACCTCAGCATCTAACAAATGTGTTGGTATCCTCTGGATATCTCCAGGAGTTGGTAGATCTACAGCAGCCATAGATAAAGAGTATATGCAATATATACCTGGCAGAAATTGATGGGCATTTTAGCTGTTAAACCCGGTGCTGAAATGTGTTTGTGAACTATCCAGTTTCCAAGAATACTTGGGGGTAAGGATTGCATAATGTAGGGTGCTTAGGTACTGTCTTAGATCAGTGCAAGAGGTGGTATTCTTTAACTTAAGTAGAGACTTTATTTAAAAAGGCATAACAGTCTCTTATACTGCCATACTTTGCCTTCAATTCAGTCTACACTCATCAATTATATCCTCAGCACTCAGTGTGCTACGTCTGGGATATACTGTGGTAAATAAAACACACATGATTTTTGTACTTTTGGAGCTTATAGTCTAATCAAGTTCACAGACATTAAAAAAGCAAGCAAATGAGTTAATACATGATTAAGTTTATAATAAATGCTATGGAGGAAAGTGGAGAGCTAGGAAAGAGAATAATGGGGTATTGAGATATGCTTTTGTTGAGTTGGTTAAGGAAGGCCTTCTGAGGGAGACATGAAGAAACAGGAAGCCATGGTCAAAGACATATGGAGGAAAAAGGATTAATATGCCTAACAACTGAAGTCAGGAGAACATAGTTGGATTTTAGTGACACATTTCACAAAATCGGTTCTAAGCTTGAGTAGACATAGCTTTGACCCCATTGCTTCTCTTAATTTCCTCCAGTGTTACAAAGGAGAGTACTTATAAGGAAAAATAGAAGGATTGATGACATGCCAGAAGTTCTTGATATACCCACTTTCAACTTCACATTAAAACTTTGTGCTAGAAAGAAAAGACAAGAGAAGAGCGCCCATCGTGAATGAGGAGTTGGCGTGGAAAGGGAGGAAAAGCAAAAACAAAGTATGTCAAGATGAAACCAAAGATATTATTTTGCTCTCAAATATCATAATTAGAGAAATATTGGTTTAAATGTGTATAAGATAAACGTAAAGGTATAATTGTTAGAATTTAAAACAGAAGTTCTCTTTTTTAAATCCCTTCAAAAGACAAAAGCAAACAAAATATGGTCCAAATATCAAGAGAAGAAACATAGAAAATGGCAAGGAAACACAGAAAATAGAATCCATGAAATAAGACGACAGAAGTAAGACCAAACATATCAGCTATGACAATATATGTAAATGTGTTGAACTCCCCAATTAAAAGGCAAAGACTCTTAGATTGGAATAGAAAACAACATTCAACAATATGCTGTTTATCAGAGACAAACTTAAAACAAGATGAATTGGAAAGGTTATAAATAAAGGATAGGCAAAGACATATCTGTAAAATACAAACAAAAAGACAACAGAAATGGCAATGTTCACATCAGCCAAAGTAGCATTCAAGATAAAAAACTATTAACCATGCAAAAAGGAGTATATTGTCTTTATAAAAGAAGCAATCTCAATGAAATTATATTCATTATAAATGTTTGTGCCAAGTAACATAGAATCACAATATATAGGACAGACACCCATACAAATAATTTGTTAAAAACTCATAATCATAGTATGAACCCCCAAAGTATTACATCAGTCCATGCCAAATTAATTCAATGAAAATGAATAAATACCTAAAGAATCTGATATGTTAAAATTCACATTTTCCAGAAAGAAAAGACTCAGGGACTCCTTTAAAAAATGGCAATACTCAAGGACGTGAAAAAAAATGGAAATAAATTCTCCACAAAGAAATTGTTCAGAATACATTTTCAAAACACAATTTAAAGTTGTCAAATATTAAACAAACTATTCCAACAATATAAAGAGTTTAAAACTCACTCCTAAATCAATATTGAGTCAAAGATGGAACACAAATCAGTGCTGTAACCAAGAAAATACCAAAAGTTATAAAACCAGCAATGTTTATTGAGTACTTAATGTGACAGGAACTCTGCAAAGTGCATTCCATGAATTAGCTAATTCAATCCTCACTACATATATATGAGGTTTGAAGAATGAAGAGGATGTGCACATATGGAAATAGAAAGAAAAAGAATTCCAAGAAGAAGGAACAGATTGTGCAAAGAAGCATGGACCAGAAAATGAAAGATATGTACAGGAAGAGCAAAGCATTCAAGTTAGTTCTAGAACTATAGACAAATGTGCATAAGAGATGAAACCATAGTCTGAATTTGATCCTCAGGAGATAGTCATTGCCAGTTTGTGAATAAGAATATCACCATAATTATGTCTCAGGAAAATTTATTGAAAAGATAAATTACTAAATGAAGAAAGTCCATTGAAGACATTAAACTCCACATGAATTCATGTGGATGGGACCAGTAGAGGTAAAGGTAAAAAGAAAGAAGATAGATGCAAAGAAATACTGACACAAGAGAACTGACAGGATTTGGAACAGAATGTTGTAGCTGGAAAAACGTTGAAAATTATGTATTCCAATCAGCTCGTTTGTTAGATAAATTAAAGCTTAAGGCAATTAAATGAATTATTCAATGGTCCTAGAAGCTGTTAATTAGTGAGGCTAAAACCAAGACCAAGTTCTGTAAGTTCCCAGTTGATTCTTTCCTCTCTACTAACGCAGTACAAGGAATGAGGGAGAGGAAAGAATTAGAAATACCCAGGGTTTTGGGTGAGGTGCAGTAGCTCATGCCCATAATCCCAGCAGTTTGGAAGGCAAAGACAAGAGGATCACTTGAGGCCAGTATGAGCAGTATGACCTCAGTTTATACAAAAAAATAAAAAATTAGCTGGGCATGGTGTCACATGCCTATAGTCCCAGCTACTGGGGAGACTGAGGCAGGAAGATTGCTTGAGCCCAGAAATTTGAGGCTGCAGTGAGCTATGATCATGCCTGTACTCCTGCACTCCAGCTTGGTAACAGACCGAGACCGTGTCTTAAAAAAAAAAAAATACCTGGGGTTTTGAATTCAGGCTAGAGAGTGGAGTAGTGACATCAATTAAAATAGGGGACCCAGGAGCTAAGACATGTTCAGCTGTGGTTCTAGTTCTGAAGAGATCTATCAGACAGCTGAAAATTCATGAATGGAGCCTGAGAATCAATAGTATTATGGATTAGAAGTCATACGTACAGTTATTTTTTGAATACTATAGGACAGAGGGTAAAAAAGAAAGTGGGAGAAGAGCAGACAAGGAAAAGGAGTCAGAAGAGATGAGAAAATGGATTACTCTGGGTGCATGTTATTTAAGAGACTGGAAGCAAACCAAGAACTAGAGAAGTGTCAGTGGCACGGAAGTGGCAATCAAATATTAGATACAATCTCTCAGGGATACTGTAGAAAGGTTTTGTGCATTGGGAGAAAAGTTGAAGTACCTAAAATCTGAGTTCTTTCCAATTCAGAGACTATGATCAATTATTGAGCAACATGTGAGGTGAATTTGATCGAATCTGACTCCAATATTGTATTTTATTATATGTCTGCACTAGTGACTAATGAATTTTAAAATGTAGCTTTTATAAGTAGACACAAGTATTAAAACTTACTAGCACTACAAGCCCCTTTGGCACTATTTTATATCACGGGAATAGGGACCATGTGTAGAATAACACACACACGTGCATGTCCTCATTTTCCCTTTGATTATTGTGTACGGAGTTTGCTGCATTATAGTGACTTGCATATATATTTGCATGACCTTCATGGGTGATTTGTGACATTTTCTTCTTGTGTGCTACAACCATTTGGAAAGTATTCTATCTGAAGAATGAACATGTGATTTTTCAATGTGCATACCACCTCTTCACTGCTTATTAAAGGATCAGCTATACAAAGTATGCACAATAAATAGAAATGATAGACAGAACCTACCAGTATAACCTTAGTTTGTAAGGTATGAGAGTCAAAGGTGAATTTAACATTATTTCTTTATCCAACAACCAAAATAGAAGCATACACAATTATAAGTTGAGGCATCAACATAAGTGGAATGCAAAAAAGGAAATGAATTAAATTTCCTCCTTACCTACAGTCTTAGCACATTTTATTTTAACTTTTCCCCAAACCATTTTTCCATTTCATTACTTCAACCTTTTCATTATGTTCAGGCCAAATATGTTCCTTCCTCTGAGCTCCCAGTTGACCTTTCTGGTAGAATATCTATCACATTACATAATATGTAGTTTGTGCAACCTGAAGAAACCCCAATCCTCACCAAATTGTGGGTACACTGATGGTCACAATATCAGAAGCAAATCTATTGCTTTGAAAGCCCTTTCTGATTTTCCCGACACAGAACCTCTGCCCTCTTCCCTTTACAGATCTTTTTCTCCCTCTAGAATGTCCATGGGGACCGCCAAGGGGGGGATTGGTCCTAGAGGTGCTCCCTCAATAGGCTGAGCCACTGTAGGTTGATACTAAACCTACTCAGACAGAGAGCCTTTTTTAATCAACTCCTTTCTTGTGGCAGTCTCCCTTGTCAATCCATTCCAGGCCATGGTCTGCCTGTTCGGCTAGGATCACTGCCTGTCACCACCTCAGGGCAGGCCATCATGCCACCAAACTTCTATCACTGTGCCCTGAGCCACTGATGCTGCCTCCACTTGCTGCTTCTGCATCGCCATTGCTCTCCACTGCAGCTCAAAGATTCCTTGAGCTGTTCCCTGCACCACCAATGCCGTTGCATTCCAGGCCCAGCTCTTCTTTCTTCCTGCCTTTCATCTTTGAGCCACCAAATGAAGCTCTACTGCCCACTGGATCTTAGGGCTTCCCTCTCATCCACAAATTGGAATGCACAAGAAATGTAAATGTGCTCTACTTTTCTAGAAAAGCCCCACAGTTCTTCATTTCAAGGATATTCATAGTAGCTGCATTTATTGAAATCTAAATAAAAAGTGCTTTTAGATGTAGAGTTGGCCCTCTCACTCCATTCTGCATCAGCTGCTTCTGCCAGCTGGGAGTTCCATCAACAACAGGTCGAAAATATTTGGAAAAAAATTAAAAAAACAATTAAAAAATACAAATTAAAAAACTAATACAGTACAATAACTATTTATTTAACATTTATATTGTGTTAGGTATTATAAGTAATCTAGAGGTGATCTAAAGTATACAGGGGAATGTGTATAGGTTATCTGCAAATACTAAGCCATTTTATACAAGGGACTTGAGTATCTGTGGATATTTTGGTATCTGAGGGAGGGAGGTCCTAGAACCAATGCCCCATGTATACCAGGGATGACTGTTACTGACTCATCTAGTCTTTACAAAAACCTCTTTTATATACAGTGCTATTACTATCATCTCCATTTTTCACACAAAAATATTAATAACTCAATGGAGGATACCCAGCTACCATATGGCAGAAACAGGATTTGAACCCAGGCAGTCTGGCTCTGAAGTTTATACCCTTAACCACCGCACTACCCAGCAAGTATTTTAGTCATCATGGGTCTTCTAAGAGCCATTTGTTCTCCTTTAACTCCCAGGCTCTCTTGGTAACTCTGGAATCTCTAGTCAGTCATCAGTTCCCCTCTAAGGAATGTTTTTCCTAGAGGTTTTTAGTCAAACCTCAACAATTTAGCTCTTCAACCTAATTCAAATAAATTGATATATATTCCTGTATGTTTTAACCTGTAGTGATACCAGAATTCAAGACCTTCCACTAGAAGTTTCTAGCCACATATAAATGAAGGGCACTAGATGGTGAAGAAGGGTTGCCTTACCAATGGATGCTGCCTATCCCAACTGGTTCTCTGGCTCAGAAACCTCCTTCCACTTGTTGACTGCTGTGACTCTCGAAAATTTCTGTGAGATATTCCAGGAACTTCGTCTTCTTCTACATTCTTGTAGCAGTGTGTACCATCTAGCAAACGTTCAATAAAAGTTCACTGGAAGAATTAAAATGAATTGATTGGATCTTTTGATTGTAACAAGAGAGAGGAAAATGTTAAATAAATCTAGACTTAGTTCAAGACCTATAAAGATGGGTTAAATATTTACTAATAGATGTGTAAATATTTACTATAAAGCCAATAATGCATAGGACTTATCCTATTGGCTATGGGACTCTTCTAAGCAGATGTACAATAAAACATCGCAATCATAAAACAGTTGAACCAACAATGGGATGAGAATTCAAAAACGGTGCATGAGGAAAACATCAAGACTATGTTATTTATTATTATTTTTTTATAATTATTATAGGAGAAATAAGATCTGGTAACAAGTTTGGCTTTTTTCTTAGAAATTTAAATATTTACAATTCAACTATAATTGCCACTCTGTTTCAAAGAGTAAAATGCCAACACATAAAGAAATATCTTGGGATGTGCGTAAAAGTAGCTGTTAACCAAAAGCCCTCCGAGGAGACAAACATTTTCCCAGATGTCCTTGCTGCCTAAACTTGAAAACCAGCAGTAGATGTGTACAGAAACATATGACATATGTGTGCATATGACAAAGGGCTTCTCAAATAAAACAGGAGAGAATGCAAGCTGCATCTTCTTCTAAAGTGTTAGGAATCTAGTACTTGACTATAGAAATCTCTACTGAAGTTTATTCTCATATCTTTCCAGTGTGATTTTCTAATGTGCTTTTACTTGGTACATTGTTCTTCCATTGTTGCAGAAACAAATTACTACACACAGTAGCCTAAAACCTCAAAATGGTATTACTTACAGTTCTGCAGGTTAGAAGCCAGGAATAGGTCTCCCTAGGTATCAGCAGGCTACATTTCTTTCCTAAAGCAGAGGTTCGAGGGGAGGATCCATTTCCTACTCACTGGGGCTGTTGGCAGAATTCAGTTTCTCTTTTGTTTCATTTCAAAATAGTAAGGAAGTACAAATGTTTCAGGTTACACGGATCACTTTTGTAATGTTTGAGTCCCAGATAAAGGTGTGCTCATCACCCAAATAGTGTTCATAGTACCTGTTAGGTAATTTTATGTCCCTCCCCTCCTCCCCATATTCACTATTAAATTGGAACCAACTGATGAACACACATGTGCAAAGAAGGAAGTAAAACTCAGAATTCAGTTTTTAGTTGCAGGGCAGAGTTTCACATTTTCTTGCTGCCTGTACACGAAGGGTCATCCACAGGTTCTAGAGGGAACCACTAGTCTTCTGTCTTGACAGCCAACAACGGCAAGTAGAGTCCTTCTCACATGACGTCCCTCTGATCCATTCTTCTGCCTCCATCTTCCACTTCTAAGGACTCCTACGATTAGATTGGGCCCACCTGGATGATCTAGATGAATTTCTCCATCTCAACACCCTTAACCTTAATCACATCTGCAAAGTCCCTTTTTTCATATAAGGTGACATATTCACAGGCTATGAGGAAGAAGGCAGAGATGATTTTGCCTACCATACTTGAGCAACAGGGATGCCGGGTACCAAGGGCCATTCTCTGCATCTGTATCAGACTGCAGCTCCTTCAGATCTCCATGTCACCACTTTGCATGTTTCCACATGTTAGAGACATGCACTTGTATTCATACGTAGTTTTACTTAAAGGCCAGAATTGTGTGATGCCCTTCCCTGGCTAACTGTACAATTCACCATTTGCAGGTTTACTTTGCTCCTTAGGAAGAGAGAAGACATTTTTATTCATCAACGTGTTCGAGATTGTGATCTTTAAGTGGAACTGTGCAAACAACCACGAAGTCCTAATATCACCCTGGAAATGCAAAAAGTTGATCTTTATTTTCCGACTTCAAATTGCTTATCAGACCCTATAAAAGACAAAGTAAAGACCATAAAAACAAACGTATGGCATTGTTATCTACGGATGGAAAACCAGGAGAAAAGAAAATCACAACACAATTTTGTCAGCAAACATTACTCTGAAATTCATTTATGGACTCATTTTTGAGTGCTTACTTTCTTCTTCTTTTACTGCTGGGTCCTATTCCCCTGCACAAACCATTAATTTAGAAATATAAATAAGGCTTTGGAAGTCATTCTTAAAGCATCATAGAAAAACAGGAAATAATAAAGAAAATCATAGCCAAATTGGCTTAGATAATTACCATAGACAAGTCATGAATTAAGCATAGTGCACTGCAAAGAAAAACATGGCTTCTAATGCACAGCATCATTTCAGGGCGTTTATTATAGATTGCATTTTTGTTATCAACCTATACAATTCTATTTCTTATCAGGTTGTCTGTGATCAGAAAATGCTCCATAAAATGAATAAGTGTCTGTTACTATATCATGGCAACTTTTGCCAAACTTATTTTTGTATAAAACCTTAGTGATCCATGCCATATAAATAAACTTCTCTAAAAAATATGGCTATGGGGAAACTCAGAGGTTCCCAAACTTACTGAACCACGGCATGTTTTACTTTAATAAGTAAAATGCATACACACAGAGCTATATGAAGTAGTAGAAGATAACAATTTATTGTTTGAACAAGAGAGTGATATGATGACAGTGGAGATTGTGGTACATTAATCTAGTAAATATGTGGTAGAGATGGGAAGGAAGAGACTGCATTCAAGGAGGCCAGATAGGAGAATGTTATAGTTAATATATAAGGGTTTGATTTAGGAGAGAAAGCATAACAATTAAGCATACAGTCATGAACCTAAAAGACTCATATTCATGGTGGGCTGTTTCTATCACTAAATCAGGTTTCCCTCTTTATACCCTTTGATATGTCAGTGCTTACTAGATGCTGTGTTATCATTTACATGCCTCTAAAAAAAAAAAAAAAGAAGCCTTCCAGACAGATCTTGACATAACTCATATGAAACTCAAATAGTAGTACTCCCTATATTGAGAAGAATTCTGAGAGTTGAAAGGGGCTTCCACTCAGAAAGAATACTTTGATCAACTAGCAAAATCTGCCATGATACAGAGAGCTGAGTGCACAGTGGTCGTTTCCATTCCAAGCATCTGATATCCCTTTATGAAGTTATTTCCCTTGACAAGATTAGAACATCATAGTAAGTCTTTAGTTCTGAACCTCAGCAATGCTATGTTAGCTGCTTTCCTTGCAAGTCCCCCAGAGAAGTCTAAATTTGATACTGAAGCAAATAAGATTTCATGGATGAAGACTAGATCAGAAAAATTCTCTTCTTTCCTTCTCTCTCTACATACTTTCTTATGGTTTTAGGAAAATACCAAGACAACATGTTTTCATATTATTACTTTTCTTTTCATCATGGTTTCCTTCTCAAATAGGTTATTTTTGCTTTTGTCAAACATTTGTGGAATAGGCAACTATATTTAATTCTCAGTTTGAACTAAGAAGTGTAGGATTGGCTATAATATTTAAATTCTGCTACAGTTTTGATGTGTCTAGCCAAAGCTGTTTCTAATTAAAGCTATTACTGAAGCAAGGGTTGGAAACAATGGCAGTCGATATTACCCCACAGATGTGTTTTGTTTGGTATAAATATTGTTTTACAAACTTGAATGTGAATATCTTTAGGCAGGACCTACACTTTCCACTTTGCTACAGTCCTCCACATTCTCTATCATCTTTGTTTCAATCACTGAATTGCTTTAATCACTGAATTTATTTGCCTGGCCTCTAGAGACATATAAACTCAGGGTTAAAGGCTTAAGTGACACTCATCTTATCTACATTTAAATCAATTTAACAAATAATTGTTTGGTACAAAATAATCCAAAAAATCATGCTAGACACATTGCAGAATACAATGAAGATAAAACTTGAGGCCTTGCCCACAAAAGAAAATAATAATATCTTCTATAATAGAACCTTACTAAACTGTTTTTTTTAAACATTGCTATTCTGTGGTATAAAGTCTGTTTATATAATCTGTAGATCACTTTGGGTAGGATAGACATTTTAACAACATTGATTCTGCAGGCCCATGAGCATGGTATGGTTTCCCACCTGTTTACATCCTCTGCTATTTCCTTCTTCAGTGTTTTGTAGTTCTCTCTGTAGGGGTCTTTCACCTCCCTTAGTTAAATACATTCCTAGGCATTTTATTTTCATTGTTGCTATTGTGAAGGGTATTGAGTCTTTGATTTGGTTCTCGGTTTGACTGTTGTTGGCATGTAGGACTGCTACTGACTTATGTACATTGATTTTGTAATCTGAGACTTTGCTGAATTTATCAATTCCAGTATTCTCATGGCAGAATCTTTGAGGTTTTCTAGATATAAGATCATATGATCAGCAAAGAGCGATAGTTTGGCTTCTTCTGCCCCCATTTGGATGCCTTTGATTTCCTTCTCTTGTCTGATTGCTCTGACTAGGACTTCCAGCACTATGTTGAATAGAAGCAGTGATAGACAGCAACCTTGTCTGGTTCCAGTTCTAAGTGGGAATGCTTTCAATTTTTCCCCATTCAGTATGAGGTTGGCTGTGGGTTTGTCATATATGGCTTTTATCATTGTTAGATAAGTCCCATCTATGCCTATTTTGTTAAGTGTTCTTATCATAAAAGGGGGCTGAATTTTGTCAAATGCTTTTTCTGCATCTGTTGAGAGGATCATATATGGTCTTCACTTTTACTTCTATTTATGTGTTGAATTACATTTATAGATTTGCGTGTGTTGAACCATCCCTGGATCTCTGGCAGAAGACAGACTTGGGTTTGAAACCTGACTTTGACACTTAATCACCTGAGTGACCTTAGTCAATCATAATTTTATTTAATCTTCATAGATAATGTTGAGAGTTTTTATCAATTTTGCAACAAATATTTAATAAGCAGTTAAAGTGTTGGGGAGAAGGAAAGGTGAGACTGGAGAAGAAACATGGGCAGAGCTGAAGGAGACAGTTGCCAGGCCAAAGTATCAGAACTCAATGCTGAAGGCAGTGGGAAGCCATCACAAAGTTCCTGAAGCCCTGGGAGAGAACAAAATGATTCTGATTCCTTTAGAGAGGAAAGGCTTAAGATATGGAGGAAGAGGGGATGATTGACAAATTTGGAGGATCCAGAGAACTGGTGAAGAGACTGAGTTTAGACTGAAAGAGATGTGTTCTTTCCATTCTAGCAGAAATCAAGAAGGCAATATGGATTCAGATTCAAGCAAGTTTGTACAAGGAGCACAGATGGTTAGAGGCATTGTCAATGATTCAGGAAACTAAATATTCCACTGAGTGTGAAGTAATACAGACTGAGAGTCAAAGCTAAGGGAATGAAGACTGATTTCCACTCAATGATGAATGACCATGAATTGGTAGTGGCAGCAATCAAGTGATTATGTGATAATTTCTAGGAGCATTTATAAGAGCAAAGAAGATAAATCATCATATTATTTTGTGGTTGGAAGTTTGATAGTTGATTTGGATAAAATGGCAGAAGAGCCCCTGATTAGCGCACTGGGAAAGGATGGATTGAAATAGACCATGAAGTTGTGGTCTACAGAGTGAAGAGTGGGACATGAGGAGGCTGACATGGGGGCTCAAGGGGCTGGAAACTTTGAAGGTTCAAGACATAGTGTAGAGGGAGTAACCGCGTGAGAAATCTGGGACCAAAGGGAATTATAATAAAAGAATCATGTATTTGAATTTAAAATTATCTGAAGTGAAGAAGTTCTGATCAAGAATATTATCTGGCGTTATTTACATGAGTGAATTTGAGTACTTACATGGAGGAGTAGCAGTGAGGTAGCTGAGAACCAGAATACTGGGTTTAGGGGTTTTTATCATTTTTTGGTTTGGGTTTTGATATTTTTTAGTTGTTTTGTTTGTGCATTTATTCAGCTTTTTTTGTGGTTTTTTGTTGTTGTTGTTGTTTTATTTTATTTTTTATTTATTTTTTTTTTTTAGTGACTTGTCAATGTGAAATCCTTCAGGATGATGGAAGCACTTAAGGGTAGAGGGTAAAACTCAGCCA